ACCTACGAGCTAGGCTCTACCGTTCATAATGACATGATTATCGAACGGCGCAATGAGATTTGGTGACCCTTGGGATACCTGGAGAGTGCCTCATGCGAAGAGACCATACCCTCCTAAAAGAAGCCCAGGCTCCTTGGCTACCACAAATACGTCGAACAACATCGAACGAACAAACCGAATATCATTTTTTCTTACGGCAGCACATGAATACCAAAGACAAAAGCAAGTCCCCAACTAAGAAGCTCTCTCAATTGAGAACTTGGGAGACTCATGTTTATACTTGAATCAACAGACCAATGAGAGTAAGATGTGTGGACAAAAGAAGGCATCGACAAGGTAGCCCTCGGCACCCAGGACTGCCGAAGTCAACATTAGGGCAAATTCAGCCTTTGGCCACGTGGAACACCCGCAACGAATGTCAACAGTTCCACATCGAAATTCTACACAACACGACATCTCCCAAGGCCTATAAAAAGGGGCACAAGTACCAAAATGGAGGTAACTGGAACTTTCGGCATACTAGCCACTACTTTGTCCATATTATTTACTAAATCCGTACTTACTTAAGTATCAGAGAGTCTTCGGCTAGTACCACACCAGTGCCCTAGGTGTTATCGAGTGTACTCTCGTTTTGCAAATCGAGAGCTCTACCGAGGCTCAAAGCATTCCAAATTTGCCCTAATGTTGCCTTCGGCACCCAGGACTGCCGAAGGCAACATAAGGGCAAATTCAGCCTTTGGCCACATGGAACACCCGCAACGAATGTCAACAGTTCCACATCGAAATTCTACACAACACGACACCTCCCAAGGCCTATAAAAAGGGGCACAAGTCCCAAAATGGAGGTAACTGGAACTTTCGGCATACTAGCCACTACTTTGTCCATAGTATTTATTAAATCTGTACTTACTTAAGTATCAGAGAGTCTTCGGCTAGTACCACACCAGTGCCCTAGGTCTTATCGAGTGTACTCTCGTTTTGCAAATCGAGAGCTCTACTAAGGCTCAAAGCATTCCGAAGGCCCATACATCACTAAGTTAAGCCCAAAAGTGCCGAACCATTTTTTGCATCAACGTGAATAATATACCTATGAAATACATGCCTACTGTGGGCAGCTACCCACACTTAGGTGGTTTCTTCACCCATCTAGCCAAACACTTTGCCAATAAAAATTAGACACTTGGCTAATATTTCGCATGCAAAATCCCCACTCAGCACCATAAATAAGTAAAGCCTTCAAGGTTTTAGCCCAAAACCTCTTCTATATTGAAAATATCAAGGCCCAAGACTTAATAAATATATGGTCCAATATATAAAGCCTTATATTTTGGCCCAAAATCATATATTAAAAATTTATTGAAATAGATTATGTGTTATAATATATATCATATTGCTATGAAAATCTAGACTTTGTAGGAATCAGCTATGAAATTGTTTTTCATGCCCCCATATGGAAAAAAGTCTGGGTCCGCCACTGACAATGGTTGCTCTTACTTTGTATGTCTGCTTAAGTTTGGAAGGGCCAAAAGGCCCTGAATTCAGCATCAACGGCTTATCTTACCCAATTTAATTACACCGAAACCAACCATACTCTCTCCTACAAGCTCCCCCTCAACATCACCCTCACAAACCCTTACAAGTCACTGCATACTATCAAAAAAAAAGATTTGGCCTTGTCACCATGATCGACAGCCAGACAACGTTTCGCCTAGAGGCCAATAATACAACCGTCATTCAGAATGCAGTTGTTCAAGGGTGGAGGCCTATGGTGTTTGAGGAACCCTTGCTTCTCAATACTACTCGCCTTTACAGTATTGACGTGGTGATTACTTTCAAAGATAAGAATCATGAGATTGGCGGTGAGGTCATGTGCAATCTAAATGTTTCTTTGAGTTCTAACGAAATATCTTGCAATGTTTACAAGCCTACAAAGTGCTTCCAGGTTTTTCTTGAATATATATGATTGCCATTCGGAGCCCTCCAGAAGTACGCTCGAAACATTGATGTGTTAAATAATTTCAATTTTCAACTCGTGCTTAGCAAATGTTGTCAATTTTCAACTTGTGCTTAGCCAAACCTTTTGTAGTTAACTCAACCATTACGCTCAGATAGGTTTAAAAAGAGTTTGAGTATGTAAGAGCCTAATTTGAAAGAAGTTTGGCACAAAGTCCTTGTGGTTGTGGTTGTGGTTAGAGGGAAAGCCTTTATTATTATTATTTTTCCTTTTTAATTATCTTATATATTATCTTCTTCGGTTGAGATAATTAGTGGGCACTAGTAATAGTGATGACTTTAATTAGTACTGAAAGTCATGTGTTTGATGGAAGTTAGATCTAATGCACATTGAGAGAGAGAGAGAGAGAGAGAGAGAGAGATCTGATTCTTGAGATTGCTTGAATTGGCAGCGTTAAGCTTTTTCTGTGTGTCCTTTTGTTAGCTAGGCTTTTGGGTGGTAAATAGTCAAGAGTGTAATGCTACACTGAGGAGTCATGTTTCGTGAGGTTGGTGTAATGAAAACAATTTGTTAGTAGTTTCATGCAATACGTAACCCTATTTGATCCTTCTTCTTTTTGTAAAATAATGCATGCGAAGATGGTAGAGGTTTTTGCTTTTTGGGTAAAAAAAGATCATGAAATTCCTGCATAATAGTTTTACCACGAATTCTAATGGTAGGGTAGCTCTTTGAGTAAGTGGTTGCAAGAATGGAAATTAATGTTCCTATTTTACCACAAACATGTTTGGTATACCTATAATGAAATTTAAACACAAAATTTAATAACTTTTTAGAGGGCATGAATCTATAATGAGATGCGGTGGTTAATAGATGTGTGAATAGCGGGGGTGGTGATATAATCGTATCTGATGTTGGTGGTAGGGATTCTAATGGTAAGTTGGTGACGAGATGGGGGGTGTGGGTGATGCCGGTGGCACTTGTTTTATATAATATTAAACAGAACTAAATATATTTAAATATATGAAATAAAGATTAGGAGCTTAAGTAGTGAAAATTAATTTGGAAACATTGACGTGTAAATTAGCTACGAGAGGTATGTTTGTAATATCATTTACCAAACCATAAAGGGTCAACCTTCCTTATTTTGTAAATTTCATGTCCACAAATCTTCTATTTAGCGTGTAACCTGCATAAATAAATCATAATTCAAAATCCAAGAAATTATGCTCAGACTTTGAATAAATTCTATATTCGCATTATCAGGTGCAGTCTTGCCACTATCCGACTCAATCATATATTCATTCTTTTGATAAGGTGAAAATGCTTTGGTTTCCTCCACCGCCAACACAACAACCATCCAATTCCACATCACCAAACAGCAAATGAATGGCTTCATTGCTCTCTTATACTAGCCACATAAACTTTTCTGTGCCTGAGAATCTTTATTAGTGGGGCTGAATTTGTGATAGCAGTGTGCCCGAATTAGTTAAGTTTGGTCATATTATAAGAAAAAGTTCATGATAAAAATATGATATGTTGCCTAACAGTTAGTTAAACTCAAACATGTACATGGTATATTGTCAATCTAAATATTAAGAGCATGAATTGTCATGTCATAAGAAACATGTGCTGTCAATTTCAAACCTGAATTGTCATGTCATAAAAAACGTGCACAAAAATAGACAAATTGTTCTCTTACCAATCAGTTTGATATGTATATTAGTACATTTTTATTCTCGACATTAATTAAAGGGTGAATTCTTATTTTAATTTTGAAGGAAATTAAAAGTAGTAGCGTATGTGGTTTGCCTTTTTTTTTTTGTGGAAACGTATGTGGTTTGCTTAGTCTGTCAGTGTCGTAGGCATGGTGTACTACCTACCAAAATATCATGAAGACTACTTAGTTTGCATTATCTTTAATGACAATTTTCAAATTGCAAAGACAGTTAGTTCACTGACAACCAAGAAAAAAAACACTACCAAAAAAAGCAGATCTAGCGTGGTTTGTTAGCTTTTGATTATTTTATGAGGACGTGTTTGGTTGCAAAACACAGCTCTCATGACCATGAGTGGCTCACAAGTCACAAGCTTCTCACTCTCTCCACAAGTGGCATCTCAACTGTTAAAAAAAGTGGAGTGTGCTTCAAGTCCCCAACCCCAGAGACTAAGTAAAGTACTCCATTCACAAAACTATATATGAATTGCCTTATATATATATATATGATGTAAGAGGAAATATAGGTCAATTATAGTGTGAAAAATTAATTAAAATAAAATGGTTTAAAGTTGAAAGGAAATTGTGTAAGAGAGGAAAATTACAATTAAATGTCAATTATGACACTAGGAAAAGAAGGAAGGAGTATATATAGTTGGAATTTTCTGTCAAGATTTGTATTTAATTTAATATTTTTAAGAATAAGTTATCTATTATGATATTATTTTCTTAATATGATTTTAGATATGATTTTTATTATTTTCTTGTTAGCTAAGTTTAGGAATATTCTAGAACCTAGAGTTTCTTACAGTTTTAGGGTTTCTGTGTTTTCTATTTAAGCCAACTCATGGCGTTGTATTTGTCAGTTAATTCATCTTATTTTCAATCAATATATTTGAGATTTACTCAATTTCTCTGAGGGATTTCAGTTTGTTGGTGGATTCTAAGGTGTTAATTGTAGGGTTATCGTTTGATCTCCCTATTTCCTTATATCTCGTTGTATCAATATATATCTTAAGGTCCCCACTTTCTCCCTCCAACTGCAAACAACATGCACAACAAGGTACAATCACCAAATATAAATTAGGATAAATTTGTCCCATGCTAATATTATTCCTAATTATATTTTCTGAGGGACTTTCTTTGATCATTCAAACTAGAGTTTATTAGCTCTTTTTTCTTTGACCAACTCCGAACACATCAACAAAAATAACGAACAAACGAAGAGTTCAATAAATAACATGAGCATACTCGAAAGCTTCATATATAAACTGCGGCCTTGCAGAGACTTCATTCACTACCTTTGTATTTCATGTTGAGTATTTATGAAAAATGAAAACTATAAACAATTTTGTAATATTTGTTTTATTTTTGCTTTGCCAACAAGCTTGCGGGTGGCCATGGCCAAGAGTGACTGTCCGTATTACCAACAAGCTAGGGGGCGGGCAAAGCATGAACATTCCCTGCAAATCTGCAGACAATGATCTTGGCTTGCAAATTCTGGCAGACGATCAAGAAACTAGTTGGAGTTTCGACCCAAATATATTTGGCAAACGACACGCTTTCATTGCTTGGAGGTGTTTAAATCAATGTAAATACGTGATAAAAGAGAATCATCAAAACCAGTGGCAAGAATATCCTTTAACAACGTAGATATAATGATGAGTTTTGATGGAAAATAAAAGAGGAAGAATAAGTCCATCAATGCAATGAATTAATCTTTTATTTTAGCTTATGATGTCATCAACATTAATATACGTATTGTCATATACTTGCAATAATTTATCAAATAATCCTCTCTAGTTTATTTTTTTCATTTATGAATTCGTAAGAGCTTGTTAGGACCAATTGGGCTTAGTGAGAAGATATGTGGGTTAAGGGATCGAAATTCCAAAACTGATTGAGGGAAAATGGAATTGCTGAAATAATATAGGAGAGGAGTGTTGGGAAAGATGACAAAAAATCAAAGAGCCAATAAATAAATAAGGCACTCTCAGGATTTGACTTCTCCCAGCCTTGTGTAAATAAAATGGGCAAAAATAACACTCTATCTCCACTAAGAAAATAATGGGAATACAATAATAATAATAATAATCTCACCAAACACCGGTGGCTAAACTCTCTCTTAGTTTTTCTCTCAAGAGGATTTTCTCTCTCACACAAGTAAGGTTTTCTTATCTCTCAAAACTCTCTATGTTTTGGTTTTGTAAGGGATGCATTTAACTGAAAGAATGCAATTGCTTTTATAGGCAAACGTTCCTAACTAATTGGTGGTCGTGCATGAAAGAGAATTCTTCTCATTTTCTCTTCCATTCATTTTCTTCAAAATTTCCCGTCCTTTATTTCATTTTATTTTTAATATTTATTTCCTTCTTTTTCTCTCCTCCACTAACGAGGGAAACCCATCAAGGAGGTAGTGTAGGTAAAGTTTAGAAGATGACTTAAAAAAAAAAAAAAAAAAAAAAAAACACACACATCATTTCAATATAATTACAAGGATTAGAGTAATTTAGACTATCGCTTATATATAAATAAAAGAAGAACACATCAACAAATATAATTACAAGGAACCCAAAACATGTAAGAATTGAATATAAGAAGTCAACATAAATCATTTTCCCATATTATTCTAACTTTTCTGTGCCTGAGAATCGTTTATCTGCTATCTTTGTATTATATATAATTTGGGCATGAGTGGCTGAATTTGTGATAGCAGTGTGCCCGAATTAGTCAAGTTTGGTCATATTATAAGAAAAAGTTCATGATAAAAATATGTTATGTTGCCTAACAGTTAGTTAATTAAACTTAAACACGTACATTGGTATATTGTCAATTTGAACATCAAGAGCGTGAATTGTCATGTCATAAAAAACGTGCATTGTCAATTTGAACATTGGTATATCTGTGTTTACATATGGAGAACTTGACTTGTATAGGATAATTAGGTGTATAAATTTGGTTTCTTCTTGTAATTAGGCTCACAGGTAACAGCCCTTGAGTACTTTAAGTTTCTAAATTTTATTTTGTTCTATTGTACTTTGCTATTTTTTGCTGCTGTGATGCAACATAAATTGGAACATATGATATGGTGTCTTGTTGATACTCTAAGATAAACTAAATATGCAACAGGCGAAAATACTGAAGTTAAAAAAATAAAACAACAGGGTAACAGTACTTGTGGTTTTTGGGATGTCGTAAGTCGTAATAATCATCAGCATAGTATAGAACTCTGATGATGTAAATCATATTTAGCATCGGCATTATGAAAATTATTAATGCCGTTATAAGTTTAGGCATCGGAAGTCAACTTTTTTTGGTACACGTGGGAGGCACTTTAGCATCCGTATTTTTGAAAGAACTAATGCCGTAAATGTATAAAAGCAACAATCACGAATACCACGGTAGGATGAGTAAATAGGCAAAGCGTGAATTATTATGTCATAAAAAATGTGCACAAAGGCAAATTGTTCTCTTGCGAAACAGTTGATATGTATATTAGTACATTTTCTGTCAATTCCTACTTTAATGCTAGTAAATACACATACCTTTGGCATTACTCTTACCACACAAAAATAAAATTGAAGTAAATTCAAAGTAGTAGTGTATGTGGTTTGCTTAGTCCGTCAGTGTCCAAGCATGGTGTTCTACCTACCAAAATATCATGAAGACTTTAGGCATCACTTTGTTTGCATTATCTTTAATTATAATTTTCAAATTGCAAAGACAGTTAGTCAGTTTACTGACAACCAAGAAAAAAAAACTACCAAAAAAAGCAGATCTAGCGTGGTTTGTTAGCTTTTGATTATTTTATGAGGACGAGCTTGGTTGCAAAACACTTAGCTCTCATGACCATGAGTGGCTCACAAGTCACAAGCTTCTCACTCTCTCCCCAAGCAGTGACATCTCAACTGTTGAAAAAAGTGGAGTGAGTTTCAAGCCTCCAACCCCAGAGACTAAGTAAAGTACTCAATTCACAAAACTATATAAGAATTGGCTTATATATAGCTTAGGGTCCCCACTTTCTCCATCCAACTCCAAACAACGTGCACAACAAGTTACAATCACCAAGTATAAATTAGGATAAATTTGTCCCATGCTAATATTATTCTTATTTATATTTTCTGAGGGAGCTTTCTTTGACCACTCAAACTAGAGCTTATTAGCTCTTTTTTCTGATACTTTTTGCGTGGAGATTATGATATGGTACCTTTTCAATACACATGGTTAGGGAAATTCAACCTGAAATTTTTTTTTTTTTTTTTTTTTTATAAAAATTTGGGCAAATGAATGTCTTCCATTTCTTTTTTGAATTTTGGAATCAGAATCAGAATGCTTTTATGAAATTCTGAAAATTTCGAAATGCCTTATGGCATGTTCAGAAACTATATATAAATTGAATATTTTGTACCAAAAATAATATAAATTGAATATGTCACACTGGAACAATTTATTTATTTATTCATGAATGAAGAGGATAAGAGTTTAGCCTTTTACCCTTTACCTTCAATATACGAGAGTAGATGTTTTACCACTTGAGTTAGAAGTTTCCCTTTAGTTAAGTGATCGAGCTAGTTGAGTTATACAATTGAAAAAAGTATATCTCGGCTTTACATATAAGTTAGGACCCCAAACATGCCTTATAATGCAAGATATGGACGTGTTTTACACTATATAATAGGGTTATAAATTGCTTGAGTGTTGTGCTTAGGTAAGAAAAAGAAGCTTATATGACTAATGAGATTCTAAAGAAAAAGAGTAAAGTTGTAGTCAAAGTGATTTTCTGCGTCTCCGATAAATGATAGGATTATTATTGCAAATTTCAGGCATAGGACCATAGGCATTATTCTCCTCCAATATTCCCTCTTTTGCCGTAATCTTTTTTTCTGAATTAATCCGAGTACAGATACGCACAAAGAAGAAGAAGAATATCTTATATTTTTGGTACACCACATACCCTTATACTTTATGCTTTATAAGCAACAGCAACAGCAACAGCAGCAGCACTTAGCAGCATCACACACTACTACTACTACTTCACTTACGTGCCTCACACGACTAATAACCACACATTCATCTGTTACGCCAAGAATATCTGCCTTCCTTTGCCTCCTCAATGTCCTCCCACTACTCTCCTCTTCTTACTTAATTTAGATTTCATCTGCAATGAGCATCTCCTTGTATGCATATTTTTTTTGAGGTTGATCAATCACATTTTGCAAATCTGTGGTTTGAGGTTAATTTTGGTCAATATCTTTTTAATATTGGCAAGTAAAAATCTTAAAGTTACGAATCCTTACACTTGGACATCACCCTCACTTCAATCGTCAAGTTAATCTTGGTTTTTGGTGGTTAACTTGATGAACAGAAGGGTCTATGATTTATCAATTTGTTCTCCTTTGTCTTTTTTCCCACGTAACTAATAAGGGGATAGATCCAAAACCTAATATGGACTTTTGAAGAGGATGGCTTGTGCCGTAAGAATAGGTGCACCCACTTCTTTGATCATGTGGCCATGGATCCCTAGTTGATCTTACACACAAATAGAAAATAAAATAAAAATCCAAGAAAAAACTACAAAATTCGAATATATTTTGTTACGAGCCACGATCTTAATTTTGTTATTCTGAGTGCAAAGAGGTTCGTGCATGCTTCGTTACAGAGGAAGAAAGGCATATGCTTAAATCCGTTAATGGCGCTTGTCGGTTAGATAGATTCTTTATTCCACTGCTCCAACTGGAAGTGTTTCACACTGATAACTGATGCCCTGATAATTAATTATAATATATAATTCATTCTTTTATTTACTATGCCTTTTTCTTTTCTTTTTTAATCTTCATTAATACAGATTCTTTGTGGAGCTACTGCGAATTATCATTTATCCACTTAGAAAATTAGTCATTGAAAGGTCTCTATTACAAAAAGAATCAAACGAACCAATATAAAATTATTCAGGCATCTAACTGTGACAAAATAAATTTCATAATTTTTGTAAAGACGGTATGTACGTACATATAAGACTTGTGAATTTTTCTACAAGGTCTAACTCAGTAGAAAAAGGTCTTGACTTGTAGACTAGAAGTCACATGCTCGAACCGCCATGGCATCAGCTGTATTTGTGTGAGAGAAACCCTCTCCCCTCTAATTTAGACAATCGCTTGTACTAAAAAAAATCACATATGCCAAAACTATATTTCACAACGTATCATTCTTCTAGTTAAATTTGAAAATACATGGATCTAAAATGAATGCACTCTAGTGATTGGGGGAAAAACAAATGGGAAAGAATAATGCACACCAAACAAATAATGTAGCAGATGATGAATGGGTGGGCTTAGGAAAAAAAAAAAAAAGGTTACAATGAACCACACTAGATGATGAAGTCGTGAAGAAGTTTACCTAAAACTTCGTTAGTTATTCTGAGACTTTCCTTTACATTTTGATTTTAGAAGTTTTGAATGAATAATTTTATAAGAAAACCATTTAAAAGTCAATACAAAATAATATATTAAAAAATAGCATAATAACCAATATAATATATATATATTGCAATTTAATTTCTTTAATCTCTTACATTTTCTGAGTCTCAATCAGTGTGCAATAGGTGCCCCGTCAACATGGCCTCGAATTTTCTTTTTCCCTTTTTTTTTTTTAAAAAAAAAAAACCCGAAAAATAGATACTACGAGGTTGTAAGTTGCAAAGGCAACCGAGTTTTATAGCGAAATAGCTCCCATATTTCCTTTTTAGATGTTGGTCCATCTCTGTTTTTTAATGCTGACTAACTCACTTCACTTCTTCTTAAGCTCTCTCTTTCCCTCCCAACAATCGCATTCGCAGAGAAATTAACAAATTTCGACTTATAGTGTTTATATACGTGGACATGTAGCGCGGCATTAAAAGTGCTAACAAATTAATAAGTCAATATAGCACTATCTATTTTTTCATGATCTGAATAAATAGAGGAACTCGTGTACAATATTATCGATGAATAATAAAAGGTTTTTTCGCCAATTTGCCCTTAAAATGGACCACTCTTAATTTACTTTGCACGTATTTCATCCTATTTTCCGTTTAATAGTGTCATGTGTGAAACTATATTGGGAAATTGATCTTTTCAACATTAATTTGCAAATTCAATTCCAATATGTATATGTATATATATAGAGAGAGATATATATATTGAATGATTACTTCAACCTTAAAAAAAGTTAAAAATTCGATGAATTTGAAGATTAATGATATACGACTACTAAGTAATGTGTAAAAAAGTTTAGACGATAACGAAAATGGTAACGAAGATGCTCATGATATTGTGCAAGATAAAAATAACGAGGTTGGTGGTGATTTAGGTCAACCGAATTTGGCATGGGATGCTTAATTAGTCTCCGTTATGATGTATTAGGCATTATTAATGTATTGAATTTACTAAATTAGCAAATTTTGACTTCGCTTTATTAATGTATGGCATCAGAATAAATGCTAAAATACGGCTAAAGTCGAGGCATCACAAATTAATTAGCTGCAAGTGTCAAATTGCTTTTAAACAAGATGATGATGAGGATAATTAGTCACCAAATGCCCGTGTGCATATATACTTGTATTGTATGGTAAACATACCCTACTTATCACTTAACCAAAGCCTACTTGACTTGTTCACAGTGCTTGAATGATGTTCCTTTCTTTTGCTTGCTAGGCTGGGCACTGTGGTGGCTTAATTGGTGCCCTGCAAACCCAAAGATATGCTTAGAGAGAGCTTATTGGCACGAGCTTTAGATGAGAGAGAGAGAGCAGGTGAGCAAAGAAAGAAAGAATAGTTGACAGAAAAAAAGTTGTAGCGGGTTTGCTTGAAAGCCACCCGAATCTCCTCCCATTACTCAATAGATGAGAAGTAGTACTGGTACTTTTCTTTAAGAGGACATGAAGTGAATGAGGTGTAGCCATGCTTTTAACGTGCAATTCTCCTTTGCTTTAATGGGTGTGTTTATTCGTGACTTTTGTTGGCTTACTATGTGAGAAAGAGAGTGTGAAACCGACTCCAAACGTTTGTACCAACCATTCTTGAACTGTTTCCATTCTAATTTTCTGATGATTTTCTAATTTTCATTTCCTCTCTCTCTCTCTCTCTCTCTCTCTCTCTCTCTCTCTCTACAATCATATCATTAAACTACAACAAAATATATTAACACTCTACAATAGTATTATTGTGTAAACAATAATAGAAAGCAAACCTTTTTGCCATGCACTCCAACGAGTCATCTCTTTTAGTTTAGCTACAAAACAACAAACCAAGCACTTAATCATTAAAAAATCTGTCTACCCTTTTAATACTTGGCAGAGTAGTATATTCTACATTTACTATTTACTTTAACCTGATTACGTTAAACGAGTCTTGTTCGTATAGATCTTATGACTTCTATATGATATGTGGTAAAAAAATATAGTGAGTAAAAATATGTCTCCCCCTTTTCCTCTCTAGCCCTCTCATGATGCTAGAGGAGATAACACATGACTCCAATTGAAATAAATGTTGACGTACAATATATTCGCGTGAAAGTAGAACAAACTTTTCTTGGTAGTAACACTTCGAAGGTTGGAAACGCAAGGAAGATTTTGGTGGCAGACTAATTTATGGTTAAATGTGAGCGGAGGGGCGGCTTTTGACCCCACAAAACTTTCTTACCATTCACTATATATACCAACCACACTCACTCTTCTTTCCTTGCTTCCCTTCATTGCTCTCTCTCTCTCTCTCTCTCTCTCTCTCTCTCTCTCAGCCTTTGCCTTTCTTACTTCTCATCAAACACCTTTCATTTCTTTCATCAAACACCTCTCTCTTTCTTTATTTCTTTCTCTAAGCTAAGCTCTTGGTCAGAATCAAGTTCTGGGTTTTGGTCTGCGAGTATGGAAGGCCAAGAAGAATTGGTTTTGAGCAGTGATCAAGCATCCCAGACGATCATGATCAAAGGCAAGCGCACCAAGCGCCCGAGGCCTCTGTCCCCGAACGGCGTCGTGGCTACGGGGACGTCTAGCTCATCAAGCGCCTGTGGTGGTGGTGGTGCTATGGGAGGAGATCATGAGTATAACTATTATGGTAATTCGTTTACATCACCCACAACTTCTGGTGAGATCTATGAGAGTACTGAGGAAGAAGAGGACATGGCCAATTGCCTAATTCTCTTGGCTCAAGGGGATCATGTAACTGTTAACCCAAAGCAGATCTTTGAGCAAAGACTAGCACAAACCAGTAACATGGGCAAGGCTGGTTTCTTTGTCTATGAGTGCAAAACATGTAACAGAAGCTTCCCTTCATTTCAAGCACTTGGCGGCCACAGAGCAAGTCACAAGAAGCCCAAGGCCATGAGCACAGAGGAGAAAAAACCAGCACCAGCCCATTTCATCCCAGCCTCCCCTTTTGAGGAATTTGAAGATCAAAGCAAGCAGTTCATCAAATATAAGAGCAGCCCACCTCCTGCGATTTCAAGCCAAATAGGAAGCAAGCCCAAAATTCATGAGTGTTCAATTTGTGGCTCTGAGTTCACATCTGGGCAAGCTCTTGGTGGACACATGAGAAGGCACAGAGCAGCAGCAGCAGCAGCCAACAACAGTACTAATCATGTGGTGGCTTTACCTAGCAATATTGGCACAAGTACCAAACTCCAGAGAACTGTTCTTCCACTGGATCTAAACCTTCCTGCACCAGAAGACAATGATCATCATCACCACCAGCTTCATCATCATCATCAACATCGTGACTCTAAGTTTCAATTTGTGCCTACCCAACAAACAACTCTTGTCTTCAACGCCCCTGCGTTGGTGGATTGTCATTATTAAGAGAGAGAGAGAGAGATGGAGTAAAAAAAAAAAAAAAAAAAAAAAAAAATCATTCTTATTCGATTATCGATTATATGAATTATAAGCATTATTTTTCAATTATTATTACTTACTGTCAATTGGGTATAATTGTGGAATATTAATTCTTTGATCAATTCTTTCCACTTTAATTTGTTGTTTATTTATTTTTGTTGGTTCATCTAATTTTTTGAAGTGTGAATACTTTGAGTAAGTAAGTGGTTAGTGTTCATGGTTGCCTTTCATTCACGAAAAGTGAGTGATGAGGCATCTTTTCCTTTTTACAATTTTCCTTTCTTTTTCTATGTTCTTTTTAAGTGGGAGAGCTATGCACATAACACCAAAAGAGAGAGAGAGAGAGAGAGAGAGAGAGAGAGGAGAGAGAGAGAGAGAGGAGAGAGAGAGAGAGAGAGAGTGTGTATGTGTGTGTGTGTGTGTGTGTGGGGGAGTGAGAGAGTGAGGGCAAGGCAATGTGGTGGCATGGGATGGCAAAAGGGCTAGGGTTAGGCACCACCACCACCACAACCAAAAGTCATGGATTAGGTTCTTCCTCTCCTTGGTGTGTATTTTTATTACAATAAAGCTAAAAAAAAGCCTATAAAAGCTCTCCCTCTCAATTCCCAGTCTGTTTCATTAAATGACAAGAAGTAATGGATAGCAAACCAGAGTTGGCAACTGCCATGCCACATGTATCCACCTGTATCTTTCTCTCTCACTCTCATTTCTTTTTCATTTTTAGCTTAATATAATAATAAAACAATATTTTTATTATTTTAATTTTATGGTCCACCTCATCAAGTTTTTTTAGTTCCAAGCCTAACAAATATATATAAACACTCTCTCTAACAGTTGTACCTAATTTACCCAACTACTGTGTATGTATGATCCCTTACTTTGCAAGTCACTTTAGCTATATTTGAGATCATCAATCATCATCATCATCCTCTCTCTCTCTCTCTCTCTCTCTCTCTCTCTCTCATTGGTCCACCCCATGCCACATTCATTGATATTCCCTAGAAAGATACTCTAACTCATACCACAAACACTTTCGGTTTGGCTAGCTTCAACTTATCCAAGCTCCACTCCACTCCACTGTACTGTGAACTCTACTTCATTTGGACCCACAATCCCCTCACGCATTGTTGTTGTGATAGCTCACTGCTTTTCAAATCAATTTCTTCTCCGTCATCATTTGAGAGTTCCTCTTTAGTATTCCTTTTCTCTACCATGTCAAAGAATTTCCTTTTCTATATGTGTCACGTTGTCAAGAATGTAACCCATCACTAATCAAGTTTTATATTATCAAAGATCAAGTCAATCATTCACACACGAATTTATAAATAAACAGTTATCTATGTACAAACAATTAGGTATCAACAAACAGTTATCTAAATGCTAAAGATTGTGATTTGATTGTATATAAATGGATGAAAATGGGAGACTTGAAATGGGTTCAAAGAGAGTGTTACTTTCACACTACTGACTTGCAAGAGAGTTTGCTAAGTGCACGTTTAGGTGAATGTGGGAAGTGAATTATGTGAAAGAGATTGCGTGGGAATTGAGATGTCCAAATACACACTTAGAGAGAGGGAGAGGAGATAATCATTGACATTGGCACATGTAGTGGGGAGGTTACCTTGTCATATATCCTCTCCCATTATTCTTCTCCACATTATATTTATTCAGTATATGCTCAAAACCAGAGCTAACCAACTTAATTAATGGTGTGAATTTGCTTCTTATATAAAAAGATTCTCCTTATTGGCTACTCTGCCAATCATCTAGAGTAGGGGTATAGTTTATGAAGAAAATAACAAGGTCAATAAGGCTTGCTTTTAGTTTATATTAAAAAAATAACAATACCAATTAACTAATCGTCTAGTTATATTTCTCTTCCTAATATTAAAAAAAGCCTCAATTATTTTCAAATCTTCTTTACTATCTCGTTGGTCCAAAAAGACATTATGAAACGAAAATATATGAACTTTTAAATCTAAGCATATTTGTATTTGGTACCAATTTTCAAGCCACACATACGTACCCTCTAAATGCCAATCCAAGTCAATCTATGATCTTTTTAGCTTACCAATTAGACATGTAATCCTTCATATGGACGTCCTTTTCTTGTCTACGGAAGTGAAGAAATCGACCTCTTTGCAGTTTTGAGTATATACAACAAGTACCACTCAAAAAAGAGTTCAAAAAAAACCACCACCAATCACAATGCGACAGCAAAATATTGACACATATTTTGATCCATTCATACATGTCCTACTGAAAATGAAGTGTTTTGTTTTGTCAGTTTTGGCTCGCATGTTCTGAAAATTTGGCTACTTTTCTGTGGACAGTTTTCACTTCAAGTCGTACGCTTTAAAAATATATATATGGAAATAGTAGTGTGGCGTGCTCTCCAACTTCACACAGCTGTATGGCTGTGAGTGAACAAAAACCACAGGCTAGCAGGCAGCTCCTCTTCTCCAATCCAATGGCATGGCATGCAAGCTCAAACTACCAAAAGCAAAGACACCCAAAAAGGGTACTTTGCTTAGAGACAAAATTAAATCAATAAATAAATAATAATAATAATACTCTAATTAAGGTGGCTGTCACACTGTCCAGAAATGGGTATTTGCCGGCCATTCTTGTTGATTAAACTTTAATCACATTGGACTTAACTAAATCATTAACCAAAATGGGTTTATTTGGTCTTGCATTTGTGTGACACTTACGTCGTGAGATTTTTGGTGATTGTTTTTGTGGTTGTCATTAGTTGGTTTGGTGAGATATTGAGTACCTAATCACTACTATGCAGCTGGTTCACAGATTTTGGTGGGTTAGGTTTTTTCATGGTCATGGACTAATGGTAGTTGCTGAATGGAGAGAGTTGAAAATTGCTAATTAATGTAATGTACTATTTTTTATTAGAATAGAAACTCCACAATTTAGGCGGTGTTCAAAGTGAAACATGATGTATGAAAAAATTAAATTAAATGTATATTCTCGTTTGGTGGGTAAATTTGTACTAGATTAATGGCATGATCGTTGTTTGGTGAACTTATAAATACTTGGACGGAACTTATTATTAAATTGAATAATAATTCAATATATCATGTCGTACAAGTCTCATTGAGAGAAGTCAGACTCATAATTTTATAAAAAGCGATTTAACTCAATCCTAATCCAATTCAAATTCAAGCCGAACCGAGAAAAAGTCACAAATCCAACTCTCGATTGGTTAAAAGAAAAAAAGTTGTGTATACTACTTTCTATGGTGTAGTACGTTTCATTTCAAATTCATTGTACGGGACCATGTTGCATGTTGGGCCTTTAAAATTTGAGATGAAGGGATCGATGCATGACATCCTTTATTTAAGAGGTATGCTTTCATATTGATGAATTTAAAGGTATGGTTTGAATGCTAAGCAGAAGCTAATTGCGTGGACAAAAATGGTGGGGCAGGGATTTTTTTAATGGCATGTTGAGTAAAGATGCCTAATCTTAGAAGTAAGAAAGATGCCAAGGAACTCTCAGTTTTTCATTGATAGACTTTTTACATCTGTCTCACATCATAAATTATTTCACCTCATCTCAGAAAATTGGAAAAGATAAAAGTGAGTTCTAAAGTATCTTTCTATAAATAATTTTGAATTGATTGATTGGCCTGATTAATATGACATGTAATGCTATGATCTCCACCTATTTGACTAATGGACAATGACGTTTTGAAATATTCTAAATTCAACTAGACGAATAACTAATTTGTTAGTTAATGGGGTCTAATCCAGTAGAAAAATATATTGACTTGCAAACTATAAATTTCAAGTTCGAATTCTCACGGCATCATAGTTGTGTGTATGTGAGAAATCTCCCTTCCATGCTTGTACTAAAAAATAATAATAATAACTAATTTGTTATGGCTCATTACTTATATATAACAAAAGTAACGTTAGATGTTTATTATCACATTAACCATTCATATTATTTGCCAACTAGTTCTTAATTTAGTGGTATTTCTTTTTCCTGTATTAAAAGATGTTTTAATTTCGATTCCCCTCCGTATCGATTATAAAACCTTATCATATTATCCACTTATAAAATGTATATGACTAGGCGCAGTGGATGCATTATTCTCATACCTCCTTCCTTCCCTCTCCTTTTCACCTATAAAACGACCATATAAAACAAATCATGGTATAAATAATCTCATGGGTGCAGAATAAAACGATAAGGGCTGTCAGAGACATAAACATTGTGTTATGGAGAGCCTTTATGCAGCAAAGTCTCAGTTATGAGGCCCCAAAGAGCCTGTAAACGTTGTGTTAAGCAACCAAGAAATTTGAGTGTGGTAAACAAATTTGTGTTAAGCCTCCATTTGGGCCCGACTGCCATATTGTAGTGTGGTTAAACAAATTTCTCTGGGCCAAAATCACTCTAGTTATTAATATTATAATTGAGAAAACATAAACAAGTGGTTGCTGTGGTGTAGTGGTTATCACGTCAGTCTTACACACTGAAGGTCTCCAGTTCGATCCTGGGCAGCAACAAGTTTATTTTTTTATTTTAATTAATTGGTCTTTTGATTTTATTTTAACCATTTATATTTCGATATTTTACTGGGAATCCAATATTTACTATTTTAAACTTACTTATCGACAAGAAGTTGCTGTGGTGTAGTGGTTATCACGTCAGTCTTACACACTGAAGGTCTCCAGTTCGATCCTGGGCAGCAACATTATTGTGTTACATTTTTTTTCATATTTTGTTCGTTTGTTGTTCGTTTGATGAACCAGCCATCTTTGTGTATTGTTTTTGGTTCCCTTGATGAATGTGGATCATCAAAGGCACATAAGCATGACGTACTTCTCTTTGGGTTTGAAACCAAACTTCTACTCAGGAGGATATCTGGGGCGATTCTGGTGGGCTCCAATGTAGGTCCAACTTTCTATTCACTCATGGGATCCGGGCAGCCTTTTTTAAACCCGGCATATGTTGAGACTTTACTGAATGACATTATGACAACACTAACCAGTTAAACTAGTTTTTCAACTACGTCCCAATTAGTCCCGAGACTCCCAGAAACAAAGGTGTTGCTGAGGAGAAGAATTATACTGACAATAAACAAATATTGTCCAGAGATGGAATAAAAAAAAAGGTTTATATAGAAAATGGAAAAAGAATTGTCCAGAGATGGCTTCTCATCAAAAGGCCACCCTCCAACGAGGAATAAACATACATTGGCACAGCCGAAGGTAAATCAGATTTATACATCTCTACTTTCATTAGATTACAGCCACCCTCCAATTGGTGCCCATATGATTTCATGATGTTGATAGTACTTTGGCCATGTACATCCTGCATAAACACATCAAAAATTCATCTTCTCTATTCAAGTGGGCCTCCAAAGACAACTCCAGAACGTGCTTATCCCTAGTTAGCCGAAACGATCACCCGCACTTTAGCAGTCACTTCTGGGTGAAGCTTCAGTTCTGCAATATACTCTCCTATCTCTCGAATATCTGGAAGAGAAACAATTCGCTTGTCCACATCCCTACAGATGAATGAAAGGGCAGAGAATGGAGCAATCAGACAAGCCTGGATGTGTTTAGCATAGTTAAAAAGATGAACGTGGGCAATAAAGAGTCGCCTTTGATCAAATGCATAGATATGAAAAGATGCAGAGACCATCTCTAGTTGCACACTGTTGAACTTTCTGAATTCTGGATTTCACTGGCCAAAGAGAGTATTAGGAAAATTAAATACATATTTTCTCCCTTCTTTTTTTGCTTGGGGGTGCTGTGGCTTAGAAGTAAAACTTTTCTGCTAATAGTTCTTAATTGTAAAATTATGGATGCTTGTGTTAAGAGCCTATATGGTATATATCTCATGCATTCAAGTGGGGTATTCAGAATGCAGTAACAGTGCACAAAGTGAAAATTGTGATTGATTTATAAATCATACTCTTACTGATAAAAGATACTACCTGTTAAGTTGTGCCTTGATTATGTCAACGAGATCTTGCGGGGTCACACTGCAGAAATATGTCTGTGTTAAACAACATATGCAGACAGTGCACTGAGTGCTTAATGTCGCACTGAATATAACTCACCTTCCAAAAATTAGCTTTCCTTTTCCACCTTTGCGCTTCACCTTGAAACCTCCAACAGTTTCAAAAATAATAGCAAGTTGCTGCGCCTCTTCTTTCACCTGCACCAAGATGAAATAAGCTAACAAGACATAATTAATAGGACAAATACAGACAATATAGAATCTACTGCCTAGAGAGATTAATGCAATTATTAGCATTTGGGTGAGACTGCCCGATGCAGAAGCATACTCACAAAGAAGTAGCACCCCCGTATGGGGGTCCTACCTGGCCTCACCCCTTTGTGAGTGTGCTGCCGCATAGGGCAGCTGCACCGAAGAATCTCTCCGATTAGTGACAAGCTTTGCTATGTTTGACCTGACAATTAATGAGACTAACAGACAGCCGGATGTAGCATGGTATTATAATATAAAGCATTCAGGATAATCTCTAAGAGAATACAAAAATGTGCTTTTGAATCCAGTTTAGGATGATCTGATATGTCCAAAGGCCCAAAACCTGTGCCTTAAATGAATGATATGTGTAAAGAGGTGTAAAGAAACAAGGCAAAAAGTACATCTAATTTTATATCTATAATTTGAGTTACAGCATAAGAAAACATATGAGGGGCACGGCACATGAGGCAGAAGGGAAAAATACATGTGTTTTCTAAATACCCTTATTTTCTCTGCCTCAATCCTTTCGTCTTCCATCTTCATTTCCCTGGAAAGAGCAATTAGAAAAAGCGTGCAATGATAACATGTTCTCAAGATAGAGTATAGTTAATTTTCGTAAAAAATAAAGCAAGAGTGCCATTAGGAATATTGATTCATCTCCCCCCAAAAGTAATGTTTATGCCACGCTATAAACACAAAATTCTTGTATGACATGTTGCTTATCAATCTTTAATGAGTGATATTTTTGTTTTGGTGAATCATAACATATATTACAACATAGATCAAATATCTTCTAACTGGATAGAAACCATATATTTGTAACTTGTAAATTAAAGCACATTCGTGACTTGTGCACTCTAAAAATACATCACAAGAAGAGGCATATTTGCACAAGAATGCTAAATCCTCTTCATGTTTATCTCTACTTTATATTTAATATTCGAAATAGTAAGAGAAGAGTTGCACCTAAGGGTTGAGGTGCATCCAATAAATTTCCAGAATCAACTAAAAAGTATCTAATAGTTATGCAAATAAAAATTCACACTTTCACATTTTTATGCATTTTAAGAAGTATTATATGTACCAAACAGAACTTAAGAAGTATTACTACCTCATATTGATGTGATATGAGTGTGGAACGCAGTATCTGTGCGTCCTAGGAATAGGTTGAAAACCCTTGAATTCAATTTCTTTTGTTCAATGTTATGAAAGAGTTTCAGAGGTACAATTAAACACTATAAATGCTATAATTAAACCTCACCACAAACATCACCCTATATCAAGCAACATTCATACATTACTCTCACAACTTGTATATGCCTCCTCTATCCATTGTAGGTTTATAACTTGAAATGTTTATGTGGTAACGTTTGTATTTGCCAAAATAATAATTGATTCCCTCATCACTCAGTCCAAGTCCCGTCTTTAAGTTTTCCAACTTAAACTTTTCGTCATCAAATTTGGTTGACTCCGTAAACACAACACCAAAGATTGAGAAAAGTATTATTCTGACTTCAGAATTGAAAACTTCAAAAGTAAACTACAACAAAAATGAACAAGGTAGAGAAAGGAAACAATTTCAAGTAAGATAGTTATGAATTACTTGAGCAGCACAGGAGTGACAAGCTGGGCCTTGCCCAATGGTAGCAGATAATTCCTGTAATAACCAGCTTTCACACTACGAAGCTCCCCTTTCTTTCCCAGGTCAGCTATATCCTCCTTGAGAATTATCTGAACCAATCAACAACAACAACAATTAACAAAACCATCATAATGCTACATTCTAGCTCACTAATTTTCTGAGAATGATTAAGAACAAAATTGAATAAAAGGAAATCTTGGACAAAATTTCACCCAACCCAACTGTGCTTAGCAAACCATGTGGCTCAAATTGAGGTGGGTTCTTCTTTTATGAATTCTCAGAGCAGAGACCATACAAATTTTGTTTCTGGTAAAAATATAGAAACACCAAAGTGTTAGAAGAGAACCCATTTCTTATAATTACCGTTCGAGCCTTCTTGGCTTTCTTTTGGGCAAAAACCACCAAGCCCGTTCTTCTATCTGACAATTTACAGGCTTCGTTTGTGTTTGCAGCGAAGCTTTGAAGCAACGAGGAAGAACTCCATGAAAGAGTCGATGCTGTGGATGCCATTGCCACACTTTCTTTCACTCTTACACAAGCTCACACTGTCTCTCTCCCTCTCACACACATACACTCCCTTGGGCTTTATGAGATTTATGATCTTATCTCTTTGTTATGCCTCTGTTATGTCACAGAGACAAGCACAATTTTCTGTTTTATCATTTTGACCCCTCTGCAAAATGCAAACTACAACAATTCACCCTTTCCTTTTTCTCTTTTCATTTTCCTTTTTCCCTTTAGTGGAAAATAAATAAAATAAAATATAAATATTTGGCAAAAAAAGGGATTTTTTTAACTATAGACGTCCTGAACTTTATCTCAAGTTTCAATTGAGTTTCGGAACTTTTTTTGTGGCAATTACATCCGTGAACTCGACAAGTAGTTCCAATTGAGTCCTACTGTGACAAAATTCATCGAGTTTGACCATCTAAATGGCACATGATGTTGTTGTTAAGGGTATATTGAACTTTTGGCTCCGGGAGAGAAGTGGTAGGAAATATTCTGCCAGAAAAACCTCTTCACTCTTCATAGCTAGTAGCTATAAATAAAAGCAAAAAAATTACTCCAATCTAAGGCAAAAGTGTTGAATTTCAAACTTCAAAAAAGTCGAGGGTTTTTGCTTCTTTGGGAAAAAGGGTGGCGAAGAACATTTGGGTGACGATGAATTGGTTTATTTGGAAAGAAATTAAAAAAAAAAAAAAAAAAAAAAAAAAAAAAAAAAGAAAGTTTTTTTTTTAACCCTTTTTATTTCCTCTTTATTCACCCATATTCTAAGTCTCACCCTAATTTCTAAGACCCAAACCTCACTATCTTCCCAAACTATCTCTAAATACACAACCCAGCAGAAAAATTAAATAAATAAACTCATCTATCTCACACTCCACACCCTACTATCTTGCCCCTCACCACTCTAAAAGATATTTTTTTTAAACACTTTTTGTCAAATGTGTAGCATCATTAGTTTATTTTTATTTATTTTTTTTTTCTTGTTCAAAAAAGTAAATCCATGTGGCAATTTTCAGATTATATATCAATCAAAGGCTTAGGCATGCATTGTTTCTTTGCTTCGCAGTCAAGGTCTGGTTTTTTTTCCCCCTCCAGTTTTGTTCTTTAATTATTATTATTATTTCTTATTTGTTTGTTTGATTATGACTTGCCGTATTTAGGTTTCTTGGATTGAAAGAGAAGATTAATCTGGCAATAGGGCGTAAAGGAGATTCTATTTTTCTAAAACTTAATGTGAAGAGTGGTGGGGTGTATGAGGTGTATGCATAGATGTATTAGGGTTAAATATTAAGTTGGATGACCTTTTTGTCTTTTTACATAATAATATAACTTAAGAGCTTAATGATTTAAGTATTGGGGTGAATAAAGAAAAGTGTGGGGTTTAAATAGAAAAACTCTCAAAATATATATATAAAAAAGGATGATGCATTGGTTTATGCAAGTTGGATGTGGTTGCTCTCACGTGCAGGCCAAAAGTAATTTGAAAGCCTATTCCTAGCAATTGGATTGGATTGGATGTATACCTGTTGGGAGTGAAGCAAGTGACTTGCCACAGGCACCCTAAGTCATCAACAAAATCACTTCATTTGCAAACTTGGGAGTAGGGTTGGTGATTGGAAGAGGATGGCTCTTGTTACGGGAGAGCGACGAGGATGTCAAAGTTTTTTGGTTGAGAAAAGCCCTTGTGATGGTGATGATGGCTATGGTGGTGAGGGGTTCAAGAGGTAGAAGAGGAAGAAGGGGTTGAGGAACTAGAAATAATGCTTTTAGCCCTCATTTTGATGTCCAAATTGACGGACTATCATGGTATGACCCAATTGGAACTACTTGTTGAGTTCACGGATGTAATTGCTTAAAAAAAAAAGTTTCGGAACTCAATTGAAACTCAAGGTAAAGTTCATGGACGTCTACAGTTATAAAAAAATATAATAAAAAAAATAAGACAGCTCATGGTTCAAATCCTCAAGTGAGTACAAAAACATTGGAGTTTACCTAATACGTGTGGTTGCAGATAGAAGGTCTAGTCCGAGTCTACAAGTATCAATGGCTTTCTCTTTTTACAACTTCGACGGTATCATGAAATTTTATTAAATTATAATTTAAAAAAAAAACACTTAGCCAAGGAGACATGAAATCGGATCCCTCAAAAGAAACTAAGGGCATGTTTGGTAGTTCTTCTAGGAGGGTAAAAGTGCTTTCAGACAACAGAAAATGCTTTTTGGAGAAGCACCTACTATATACTTTTTCTTATTTTTGGTACAGGGAAGGGGCTAAAACCCCAAAGCAGCAAAGCTAAATAGAAACTAAACGAGGCCTAGCTACACCTCGAGCATCAGTATCTAAGATGGTACTAAGAAAGACACTTCTTCAGAAACATGGAGACCATGACTAAACTCAAAACATTTGGTAGCCAAGGTATTTGCAACATAATTTTGCTCACGAAAGACATGCTTAACAGAGCAGTTCCAATCCTCCCGAATCTTCAAAGAATGGTTTGAAACAATTGGGTTATTTAATAAAGCCATAGCAGAACTAGAGTCACATTCAGCCTCCACCATTCTAAAACTAGTATCCCAAGCCAAATTAATTCCGTAGAAAAAGCCCCGTACTCATAGTCAACAATAAAACCATCACCTAAATTCACAATGAAGCCTTTTTGCAGTTTCTTTATGTTTGGAATAAGTCGCATAGACTCTTTGGATTTTTTGTGTGGTTTTCACCTCTCCTTTTATGAGAGTTTCCACCTCTTTTTTGTGAGAGATTTCCATCTCTCTTTTGTGAGAATTTTATTTGTATTGTTATGGCTTGGTTTTTTCAAGCTTTATCTCGTTTTGGTTGTTCTGAGTTTGCAATCTTAGTTGGGATGCCTATGCCACAGCTTTTATGCTCATGCGTGATCGTTAGTAGAGGTGCACCAGATTGTCTTAATTTTAATGTTATATCACTCTGTTATTGAAATGGCTCTTTGTGGCTAGTTTGTATTGACCCTTTGTGGCTAGAAGGGGTGAGCATTTAAACAAAAAAAATATAGCCGAATTGGGCTCGAAAAAACCGAAAAATTGGGTTGACCAAAAATTAGACTGAGTTGACCTAAAACTGGACTGGACCAGTTTGGTCCAATTTCGATTATGGTTCTTATAGTGAAAAAATTGGATCGGGCCAAATTGGACAGTTTATGTATTTTTTTTAATTTTTTTAATAAAATATTTAAGCCCAATGCTAAATTTCTAGACCAATCACCTCCCTCAAATAATGTAACTATATATACACATTGTTGATACTTTACATCAATTTTAGCTACACAGTTTAACCTCATTTTAATTTCGGCAAGGAAAAAGATATCTTGTTGACACTTGAGTTGGCCAAGTCCAAAGTTTTGTTTAAGTGGAAAAGTAACCTAATTAGTCTTTAGAACACAAAAATCCAAATTGGGGAGTATTAAGGAGAGATCCCTTGTATAAGTCAGTCTAGCAAGTTGAGTTTCGCTCGTTGCCACGTAAGCATGTCAAGCTCTAAGCTGTGGTGTGGAAGAAACATTCTAGCCAATTCCTCAAGCTGAGCTCAAACTTGAATCCCAGCCTGAGGTTCAGACACAAAAAGATTCCAGAGAAACCCAGAAAAGCCCAAGAGAATGGTTTGAAACCCTTTCAAAGGAGAAAATTCGAGAGAACATCTGGAAAAGCCCTCTCTCTCTCTCTCTCTCTTTGCGGACACAGTTTACGTACTAACAAATGAGAGGGGCCATCGTCGACAACAGCGACTTTGGGAGTAGCCATCATATCCATGATCCATCCACCTTGAGATTGATACATAGGAAGGCAATTAATTAAATATAACAAGCCTTAATTACTATTCAAAAGAATAATTAATTCCTTGTGGCTTACGAGCTGCAAAATACCACATCCTAATACCAAGTTGTTGTCGATGATCATGTGTTCCAAGAACCCACACCCAATTAAAAGCCCCTACAAATTATTTTGACAATATCTTTGCATATTCAAGCTATAGCTTGACTATCATATATATATGTTTTATACAAAATATATAACACTCGTTTTATATAGATTCATAAGCGTTTACTTCTTCGTTTTTTAATCACCAAGGAGGATCTACCCTGCCCGTGGGTCTATCTAATAAGAAAAAACCTAGGTATATGTACTCATCCATCCACACACCTAAGATTTTGGTAATTAACTTTAAAAAAAAAAAAAAAAAAAAAAAAAAAAAAAAAAAAAAAGAAATATGGCAGACCAAAAGCAAGCTTCGCAGTAGTATTAAAAACAAAGCAGGCAGGTTTTGTCTGGGTTTTTCCCCCCTTCTCTCCCACACACACACACAAAAATCAAAGCAGGCAGCCATCTAGACCTAGTCATAATAATATCCATGCTGCGGATTCTTTATGTCCTAAACCTGTCCATATAATGCCGGTTGGGCCATTTGAATATAACACATACTTTCATAATTCATTATAGAAAAGAAAGACCTTGATTTAATTTGGTCGTGGCGGCGCACGTTGGAAAGTTGCTTAAACAAGTGCGAACGTAATCATGAAGTGTGCCATACATGGGTATGAAAGAATGCAGCCTTGTTGTCTTAATCTCTTAAAATGGTTTATTGGATCGTTTATGAAAAGCTTATGTTAGAACAATATCATTCATTGAGAGCATTTTTGCTCATCACCCTTCTCAACACTTACTCGTTTCGCTCGCGGGCTGACCCAGTTTCGTGGGACCCACAGCTTGCCGGGCAAGCTTGGCTCTTTGGAAGGCGTGCCCTGACAGGGGGCAACTGGTGGAAAAGCTCTAATAGGTAAATTACAAGTTATATTATTATATAATAGGAAATTATATTCAAAATGCGTTTATTAAAGTTGGGTATATTATTTGAATAATAAGTAAATTCATATTAGGTACATTATTTTTCGTAAAAAAAAAGTAATAGGTACCTTATTTTTATCGTAGGCAAATAATATAAATTTGATTAGGATAAAAATAATATAAAAG